TTAGTAAGAATTTTACCAAACTTTTTCGTCTACAGACCTTTCTCGGTATGGAAAAAAACCATGAAACCATTTATGGGTTTGGGGAACGACTGCTGAACCTTTAAGGTTCGGTCATGTACCATTTCTTTTTAGAGAGTAGATCTGCATCAATAAGTGAACGGAAGAAAGCATTTTGTGTCATCGCAATATGATCATTGACTTCTATCATATCAAAGGTGGATGTGATATGGGATTTTCATTGACGATCTGATGTAGATGACATATAATTGAGTTTACTAATTGGTGATGAAATATCAGTTGAACAATTATTATCACTAATAACGTCGCCATTTTGTTTTTCCTCGTTCTGTCGTTTAGAAAAACCACGTTTGCTCACTTCCTTCATAAATAACTATGAGAAAGACAACTTAAATTAACGGGCGACTTTTACTAAGAAACTGTTCTTTATGCAGTTTCGTTGCGTACATTTCGCAATTTAACAGCTTTTAATGTTCTATATATAAACTCTTATGAGTAAAAGAGGATGGTGAATGGACCAAAAGTGTTCCAGAAAACGTTTATTTGGAAAACCCTTGGAAAAAAACTTTAGTGTTCTATCTAAGCAACATAATTGCAACAAAGCACATTAAATAAAAATATAGTTTCGAAATGCATGATGTTTGTAATCCGTTATTTGTGCCCAAAAATTTATCATAATCAAACTTAATATTATATAGCTTTTTAAATTGTTCAATTTTATCCACGCTATTACATTCAAGTATATTGCAGTAGATTTTGAAATGATGAATATGTGTCTGTCTTGTTTTCAATAAATGCGCTCTGTCATCAAGAAAAATATCAGTATTTGATGATGAATTTGGTTTGAATTTTTCACAATATGCACAAACTCGATTTGTTGTTCCATCAACAAACATCATACATTGTGAACAATAATTAGTTTCTTCGTTTGTATAACATAAGCCAGACTCTGTGAAATTTGTATATTTTGAACATACTAATGGTAAATCAGGTTCATCCGTATACAATTTAGGCATAATTAACTCTAAATGTGGTTCAATTGTAATTGATCGAAGTAATAATTTCATTTTATCAGAATCAGGTTCATTACAATTATCTGTTGCACAATGATACACAACAAAATAGGATAAACTTGTAAGTTCAGTCTGTTGTATGGAAAAACCACCTAAAACAAAATCTTCATCATAACCGTATTCGTCTTCTGTATTAGCAGTAATATAGCCTTTCCCAGCTTCAAATCCAATTCCAAGAACGCAATATCTGTGTTGTACACTCCGTTTTGTGCAATTACTGAGTGTTGGTATATTTTCCGGTGTAATAGCAGACGGTTGTGTAATATTACAATGATAACAAATCAACGTTGCAGCAGACCGGGCTGATAATATGAAAATAACACACTTTAGAACGTTCGAAACCGACATAGCCGCTCTAAATGAAAGAAAATAACATTGCGTTATCTTTAAAAAGAAGTATTGACCTTTCTCTTCTCTGCAGGCAAAATACCAGACATTCCAAGGTGGTAGCATCGTACATCCTTGGAGTGGTGGAGCGGTTTCTTTGGCTTTCAAATATAAATTTCATTAATTAAGATAGATAAACAGCTAGCGACCGATCATCGGGACCGTGCGCCCAATAATGCTTTTGCTACGGGAAAACTTACGCTGAGCACCTCAAAAGCTTTTGTGCTGGGGCACTTTTATTATACACATAAGGGAACGTTTTCTTTGCAGTTTTTTATCACTCACCGATAGAATATTATATATATTTGGAAAACATAGGTTGTTTACTGATCTTTTAGCAGTTTTTTTGCTATAGATCACGAGCCAAAGGTAGTAAAACAACATGAGCAAAAAACGCTCATCTGGAAGAATGCAAAACTATGGCTGATGACTTTAAGTTCCACGCGATGAAATTTCAGATCCATTGTTCCCTTGCAATTATTATAAGTCCGGCGGACCTTACAGTGTGAAGTTCACACCCTTTCTCATAGTGCCAGCTCGTACCGATATACGTTAGCTAAACGTTTCAGCTCTCTTTCAGCTGAAACTTCAAAATGTTTTTGAAAGACGATGCTGTAGGCTACTCTTAGGACACTAGTAAAACTATAGTCCTAATAGGACTTAAACCTATTCAAAAACTTGTCTTCTGGAGTAATCGGCGATGTCTCAATAGAAAATAAGAATTTACTTTTGACAAAATGTTAAGAAAAAAGTTGGTAGGTCCTTATTCTTTACAATACCCAAACCTCGTTCAGTGAAGGGTCCGTAAATCGTAGACTTTAACGGCGAAGAATGAGAATTTACGAGAAATAAAAAATTATTCTTCGGCCGGGAATCGACGTAGCCACATAGGCTTTTTGGTCCAATAGACTTCGCTTAAGTTCTGAAGCACGCGTTTCCTTGTATATTCTCATACTAAGTCCTATTTCTATTCAAGCTGTTTGTACCAGTATAGCGGCAAATAACAGCCATTTGAATCCCTCATAAGAGATCAACTGTACTTCTGTTCGTCAAGAGCGATACTGTTCCTATAGTTAAATCATTATTGACTATCAAATTAAAAAAATGGTTTTGTCTGGACTAGAACTGAAATATTGTTATAGTAATAACTATGCAAGCTATAACTCGTATTCAATGCCGTAGGCCCTTTCTGCTAAAAAAGTATTGTTCCTGGAACAGTGTTTGATTTATGCTTCTAATATATATAAATAAATATTCAGGGCATGTATGCGACTGACTTGCATAGCCATTATGCTGTTTGAGAAATGACTTTTTAAGCAATAATGTAGCTGTTTAAAGTCGAAAACCCTAAAAATTTCGTATCAATCAGTTAGAAATCAACTGCAAAACAAATTTAAAAATGTCAAAACTGCATTTATTGAAAAGAGCTTGATCCACATCTCGAGAAACAGCCGCCACAGAAAATTTCTTTTTACCAAAAATTTTCCGTCCACTTGTCTGCCTTTGTTACTAGTAGCACTATGATTACCTTTTATAATGAGCTGTTACAACGAATGTCTTATAGCAACTAAATTTCAAGTGCAAAGCGTGTGTTTTACTATTTGTAAGTGTTTCTTGAACTATAACAGTATTCTAAAATGTTTGAAGAAATGACAACAAGGTCACATTGCACATCAAACAATTGTAATATGAAAGAAAAATTATTCTACTTAGATAAAATGTACTATCTCTCGTCATCATGAAAAGAATCGAAGAAGGTTACTCAAGCACCTTCGTTAGAAAGCGAATATTCAAAAAAACACTGAATATAGGCTGAAAATAACATTTTTTTCCAGCAGTGAAATGATGCGCCTAATAATGATTACTGGTTATGTTGCTTCAATATGTTTCAGATCTAAGACACTATTGTAAGATTGCAACATTCAAATCTTTAAAAACTTTATGTGATTGATATAATATCGTTGGAAAATTAGTGCAAAGGTTCAAGTGATTATTTAGAAGGGACAGGTTACGTAAAAAATGGGTCTTAGAGAATTTAGTTTTTCAACAGGACACCGGACGGTCTCTGCAAGGAAATGACCCGGTAAATTATTGAGAGGATAACGATTGGAACTAATCAAAAACCGTTCGTTATTTAGTTTTTAATTTTTCTCCACCTTCAAAGTTGATTGTAGACTAGGATGTTACGAGACCGAGATACCCGTTTTCTCGTGTCTCGTACCCGGGTATAGTCTCGTAGTCTCGTTAGTAGTCGTATAATAGACTAAAACCTGATACTATTTTATAATCATTTATTTTAATTCAATGCTTTCCATTTGTGACTAATAACCATACTTCTTGCTAGAACACATAGGTACTTTTCTGTTCACTTTTCTTTAAGCAACCAAACCAAAACTTGATGTTTTTTCAGTTGCTGTTTGCTTTTGAAAAATTAATTGCGTACAGAGTCTCATTTTATTCGGAAAAAACAATCGGTCCCTTACGAAATGAAAACACGATTTTACACTGCTCAGTCAATTTGAACAAACATTGAAGTTTTTCCAACTTAAAAGATAAAGAAACTTTGTGTGTCAGCAAAACAAAAAATGCATAGGGCCTTCATACTGAAAAGCTAATAGAATGAATGAAAGAAAGGGAGAATCGCTCGACTTCAAATGGTGGGGTGTGTCGAATATCTTTCGATATCCGGACACCGAACTATTTGGGTCAAGACGGTCGATTTTTTTCTTCTTCTTTTATTTTCATATCAAGACTACGAGACTATACCCGGGTACGAGAGCGAGTATACGAGAACCCCAATCTCGCTCTCGGTCTCGTTACATACCTATTGTAGACTACCATATGCTGAAATTTTTAATCCTTTCTGAGCGTCGGTCCAAAAAGCCTGTTCGATCGTATTTATTCATTTGTCTCTGTAAGTTTGACGTTCTTAAAAGACTTCTAGACACCAAAACATGCGTAATTAAACGAGTTGTAAAATGATACATAGCACATCTTTTCAAACTAATGCCTTCATAGATGTGTTTGACAAATACTTGACAAATTATCTCGATTTTAACCGAAGTGGCAGACAAAAATCATTATGGTTTCATCCACAGACAGAGATCTCTAATCATTCATACATCATTCGATGCGTCTTGGAAAACTCTATATGTGCTGATAGGAAACTTACGAAACTTCGCAGCGATTTTTGTGTATTAAATACTTCGCCGCTTAAACCGACAATGGGTTCAAAACTTATTTGCTATCTTTATTTTTCATGTTTCTCGGCGGCCATAATAGTTAGAACAAATTGAAAGAAAGATTTGGCCAGCTGAAAGAATTTTCGATCTGATGACCTATATACGAAGGTTCTATCAAAACTCGTGAAATCATGGTCTTTGGGAAACCAAAATTCTTGAGTTCAATTTAGAAATGCTTTGCGAATAGCTCCATCGAACAAACATATCTGAAGAAAATGAGACGTCTCCCAGCTCTTTACAACATTTTTCCTTGAAACAGCATTCAATTTACGGAAGCCCCATACCAGCACACCTCATGGGAAAACAAGTTAGGGCCTGCCGTAAATTGAATGCTGTTTCAAGGAATAATGTTGGAAAGCGCTGGGAGACGTCG